GACTGGTAGAAGGTCCAGTGGGTCAACCTGCAAGCCCAAGGCTGCTCCAGCTCAGATCAACATGTTCCAGAGGCTCTCGTTGAAGCACAAGGGTGCTCCAGTGTGGGGCTAGCCAGAAGGCAGCAACCTCATTGAAGCACCCTTGTGCCCCAGCCAATTAAACCAATGTCTACGTATGCATTGCTGCACACAAAAAAACTCCAAAGCAGAAGTTTCTTAGTTTTGTGCACTCTAATAGAGGTGCACGTTTAAACACCAAGATATTTACTGTGGAGCTAGTTGGGCAATTCAGCAATAAACATCTTGTGTAGATGTGCCCAATGTGACTTTATTTAACTTACTAAGTAGCAATTGTGACACAGGTAAGAGACTTCCAATGTGATTAAAAATCATATAGGCCCCAACATAATTTGAAAAAAGGCAGGAAGTAAAGTTTTTTAGGGGAAGAAGAAGGTTGTAGTATGTAGTCACAAAGAAATGAGGAGTCTTTAAGAAAAGAACACAGGAGCATTTAATCACACATTTCTAATTCCAAGAGAGAGAGAGAGAGCACTAAGTCAATCTTTAAGAGACTTAATTGTGAGGTAGGAAAAATATATATGCAACCTCAACTGCTTCTCCCAACCCCAATTTAAAACATTTTAGGAAAAAATATTTTACACTATTCTTTCTCTCTCATTTCTGCTTCCAGTCCTCATTTTTGCGAAGTGGTATGTGGAAGAATGCCACTAAATACCTAGCAGCACCTATGCTGTTTGAGAAGGCACCATGCAGTGCTATATTTTACCTTTTATATTTTACATGTCTTACCAAATGAATCTAGTGAATCAAAATTTAAATAAATTCCTGCTGATACCCTTCCATTTTTATATAACACAGCCTATTATGCGCACAGCAAGTAGTTATTTAAATCACATGAGAACATATTGTACAGAAATTCTCAAGAGAAACACTGGTTAACCAATTTTCTCATGAGCAATTCAATAAGGAAACATTCCTTTACCATTCCAGACTTGCACCCAGCATGACCTAGTAGACGTGACCCATTTGCACTCAAATTTGTTTGCATTTGCCTCCTGTTGATATTTGTATGAGCTGTTTCTGAGAAACTTGCAGCAGTCTTAATGTTGGCAGGGGTTTCTGTGTGACCAAGTGTCATGTGGGATCCCCATATCACAAGTAAATGAACCAGTCTCAAAATTGACAGAATCAATTTTCATTTCTGAAGTCAGGCAGGCTTTCATTTAATGTGTATTGACTCTGTAGAGAGATAATAACAACGTTGCTGCTTTCAGTGAAAAAGCACCATTACTGAGAACAATGCATTCGATAAATGTATGCCAGACCTTCTCTTCCCCAGACCACTGTCCTCTTATAGTTACAAGCTGGGAGCTCTCCAGAAGCACTTTTTCTGCTCCCTGTCCAGCATTACAGTCTGGGAGTCTTGAGTCCAAAAAGAAGCCAGTATATTATTAGG